GTGGCATTTTAATGCAAATACACTGACAAATCCCATCAACAATATTTTGAATTTTCATTCTCTATACTTTCAAGCACATTCAATCATGAATTATCTTATCAGAAAAACCCCGCATAATATAAACTTTGTACGAGGTCATAAGATTCACGCAAAAATGAGAATGATGAATTGAGTAGAAAATGTACAATATATTTATATATATATATTGGTGTTAATTCCCCAACTACATTTCATTGACTCGCACGGCGTTAATAGGCAAACTTTATGGATCATAGCAGTAAAACTATACAACACTGAAATTAATCAATGTAAAATATATTCTCAAAATAAAATGTACCTTTTCTCGATCAAAATGATCTCTTCTCTCTTACAACAATTGAGGCGAAGATGAAAAAAAAGGCCAACAAAATACGGTTTTGTAATGAAATTTGCTACCTCTCGACTATGACGCAACTTGAAAGTAAAGATACTGTCGCTAAGTCAGCTCAGAAAGGAACATTCAGCACACAATCACATCAAATACTATCGCCCGTGTTGAGTTATTTCACAAATTCGCGAATTCTGACAATGCCACACTAAACACACACGCTCAGCAACACACACACACACACGCAGGAGGAAAAGGCATTGGAAAGCTCGCGAGGAATAGGTTTTTGTGAGTATCATTCGAGAGAGAGAGAGAGAGAGAGAGAAAAAAAACCACACTTTACGCTGTAATATGAACACCTTCTCAATAATAAATCGTTATATTGAGCGCCTTCTATTTCGCACACTTTTTCACCATCGGAAAATGTCGAGAACAAGCGCGAGGGAGAGAGTCAAATTACCAACGCTATTTATCTGTCGCGGATAATCACTTTAGCGGTGCATTATTCATACTGAGTACGCAAAAGTACAATCGCTGTCTAGGCAGAAAATTCTACAATGTTACCCGATAAATATCTCTCTCACATTATTATCAATCAACGCAATGCTCTTGCAATGGTTGAACCTTTTTTTCTCTATCTCTCCATATTCCACACCAAAATGTGATTATGCATTGGAAAATGTTGTAGAGTTGCAATTCCTCCAAAAACGACACCCAAAAAGTGCGAAATATTCGCAAGTCGTGCACAATTTAATGGACATTTTTTGACTTTAGCATGCAAAGTGAGACAGAGACAGAAATCAAATATCCATTTTCTCACTGTTTCTCACTTTCATGGATTGTGTCTGAGCGCCCAAGCAAGTGAAGGAGAAGTATTTTCGAGGCAACACACCAGAGCTAAAAAAAAAGAGCTGCGCTCACCCAACTTCTCTTTGCGCGCTGCTCAACGTAATGGAATGGGAAAGAAATCTTTTTTCTTCTTCTTCTTCTTCTCGCACTGAAGACATTGAGAAGGTTCGCCAAAAAATCATTTGCAGTCGCGCATACAGACAACATCCACAAATGAGATGGAAGAGGAGTACAGAGGCGAAAAAAAACGGCACACAAGAGAGACTTGAAATTGAGTGAATGTTGCAGAGTGAAAGAAATAATTGGCCAGGTGTCCAAGGTGCGCTACAAACTCCATCCTGATTGAATAACCACACAGTCAGATCGTGCACCAAATCAAGGCTTGATTTTTTCTCTCCCTCTCTCGCGACAAGCACAGAAAATGCCTGGAAATTGTCACCCTGGAATGGAGGAAAGGAACTGTTGCGCTCTGTGATAGACTTTTCATTCACAACAGCTATTTTGCTGGCCAATCAAGTGAAATCCATTCCTGCAGGTTTTGCCTCAAGGCCTTGAAATCAGGTAAACTGACAAATCGCGCATACCTTTCCATCAATATTCAAATTACAGCTCAGTTATGATGAATAGAAATGGTAAAATTGGATGAAAAGTGGCAGTTTTCAGCACCCAAAGTGTTTCCTTGCAAACTTTGCATACATTTCCCATTAAATAAATTCACAAAGAAGAATTTATAAACTCAATTGCAATCACAATCATATCTTAAGAAAAGAGAAGATGTTAATCGAATTTAGTATCTTTCATCTTATTGTGAAATTGCATAAGAAATCTCGTACATTTGTGAATATTACGATGATTTTTAGTTCGAATTCGCAGCATTACAAAAAGTGTCTCAGAACAACTAAATCTCCAACGAAGGATCTCAAATGATCCAAAGATTCATCTCAAGTTCATCTAACTTTTCGCAACAATAATGACAACATACAGTATGTGTGATATCTTTATCACCTTGACTGGAACACCCTGAAATGTCCTGAAGCAACCTTGTCCATCTGATCTTAAGTGTGACCAAGAAGTCTCACTGCTCGCAACCAAAATATCTTCCAACCACATTCATTCTGCGTCTCGAGTCGTCACCTCACCTCCAAAATCGAGTGAATGGAGTGTGTCTGGACGAGTTTTTCTAGTAAAATTTCAATATCTTCTTGACGCACCGAGAGAGCGAGAGACTGACTAGTGACCTAGCAGTTTGTCTGTCTCCGCACGCAACATGGAATTTAGTCCAAGAGTTGTTGCGGCATAAGAAAAAATGTGTCTCAAAATGCGCCTAATTTTTTTGTCACTCCTTCTCATTCTTCTCAAATACACACAGACGCAACTGTAATATATATTCTCACGAGGCTTGATCGTGTGCTTATCGCACACGATTTTTTATCACACGGCGCACGCGCAATCAGCGGTGATCTTCAGTGTGGACAAAACTATATTTCAAGTGCCTAAAGGATTTCCCCGTCTATCGAAAATGATCAGACGTGCGATTATCATTCTCTCGACGTGTGTGCGCGCGCGCTCTTCTCACGCCGAGATGCCACACCACGAAAACCTTCCCGATTTAGTGAGGATCAACAGTTCGTGGCCTAAATATTTGGCACCGTTACTTTCTCATAGTTTTAGGAAAAAGTGTTATGCCATGATTTTTTCTTCTCTCCCTCTCTCTCTCTCTCTCTTCTCGTGCAGTCTGTCTCAGTGGTCTTCACTCTTCGACTTTTTCCGCCACTCCGTCCAAATATCACTGTCTGTGTGCCGCTGCTGCTGCTCCATGTCTTCATTTTTTTCCCTCACGCCAATCTCCACAGCTTCATCTATTGAGAAATTGTGCGCTTTTTGCCGTTCGTACGGCGCTCTCGTCTGATATTTCACCTTTTCCGTCTCCCTCGATCGCGCACTCGAGCATTTCACAAAAGGAAAATACCTCGCTTTTCTTCTGCTATGAAATTTTCACGTGAAAAATTAAAACATGAGCAAACACACACACTCACCCCACCCCATTTTTTTGTTGTTGTTGTTGCCACTACTGCCTTGTGCCCAGAGTTCAGGTGAATAATTGTATAAAAGTGGGAGAGTCACGTTCATGAAAGACCAGTGAGAAAGTCAAAATTCACTGAAATTTTGCAGACACACGAATTGAAATTCACGATCGTGTCTCGCGATCACGTAATGCCAGCAATCGCGTAAGACGAAATTTCACGATCGATCGAAACCTTTTCATACTTCTCTCCAAATCACTCACACACACACACACACACGCCGGAGAGCAGTGCAGCAATCATCCCAAAAACCCCACAATCACCTGCCGAAAATCCTCAACTGAAAAATCCTTAGCGAAAAATATTGCAACATCTGTGACAATACAGGTCACAATATCACACTTTGCCACGTTCCATCGACAACAAAGTCATTAATGTCGCTGATAAGAATTCAGAAGTAATCGCGCAGCTCAGCAGCAAACATGACCTTTTCTTTCGCGATACGGTGCATTTTCAGTATTTTGTCAATAATAATCTCTTCTGACCCCAAACACTTGATTTACAAGCATTCTTATTGATTGTCCGTGACAGATTGAGCTTTGCCCAAGAGGGCTCTCGTGTCGACAAAGAGCACGCAATGACAATTGTTGTTTTTAAAAGTTAAACTTTAGAATTAAATCAGAAAAATAAGGGAAAAAATAGGGAAAAAACCATGAAATTAATTTCTTAATTTGCATACTTTACATATAACAAAGTATTACAAAAAAAATTACATAAATTTCATATCGAAAGTAAAGTAAATCTTTTGCAATATGTCCAAATAACGCTTCTAACCAAATTTCTATTTAATCCCACGGCATGAAATTGGGAAAAATTGCTTTCGAGTCTTCTCAGTAGAATTTACAAACCAAAATCAACTGTTTTGCGACTTAATATTCCTTTCTGAATGCACAAAAGCTCTCTGATTCATATTTATTGACACAATTTCTTCAGAAACTACCTTCACTAGACTCTGCAATCACTCAACATGCGGAATTCGAGGATTACAAACAAGAATAAGAGCTCGTGTGCAATCTTATCACACCTAATCTTCGAGTGTCGCCTGTGAAGAGAGCAACTTTAATTGCTGCAGGCGAAAGAAGCCCTCAATCCCTCAAAGCGTCCTTCTTCGGCGTCTTGCAAATGTCACCCCACTTTGTGTCTCTCCTCACAAAGGTGGCGACAATAAAAAGATTGTCGGTAAGATTGGAAAAACACCCAAAGTGTGTAAATGTGTTACACATTCGAGTCTTTTCCCAAGTGTGTGTGTGAGTGTGTGTTGCCCACGAGAACTGGTTTTACGAGAAATCGCACACGAAATATCAATACTGTCCGCGATTTTTTTCTTTCGAGAATATTTCCCTCTTTCCACGCGAATTCCCTTGGATTTCGCCCCTTGTGAGGACAGCTGACAACACCAGTGAAATTTGCCCCGCGAAGGGGAATTTTTAAATGGTCAAAAATGGCTGCAAAAACGTAATTGCAGGATTTCCCCACCTCAGGAGCCCATGAGGACTGAGGCCGTCTCCCTCCCACTCGCACGATCGCGTGAGAGGATTGCGAGGATCGCTCGCGTGCATTCGAAAAAGTGTGCGAGCGAGACAACACAGGCACTTTGACAGATCACGAGGCGCTCTCGCTCGCACCTCCTCAGTTTTTTCGCACAAAGATGGTGGCAATGAGAGGCGAAGGAAAAAGTGGTGCTGCTGTGGTCAACTTACTTGATTTCGCTGAAATTCCTCAATGGCACGATAAGCTGAGTCGGTCAACTTGACGAATATCAACTCCTTGCCATCCGCGGACGCGCTGGTGTTCTGTATTTGCGACAATCCGTACGAAATACCAGTGCACAGGGCGGCCATCTTGACGTGCTACCAAATGTGCCACGTAAAAAAACCTTTCCAATTTATAACGCCTGCTGGCCGAGGTGCGCCACTTTGTTACCACCACACCACAGTGGAGTATCCTCCGGATGGGATCCACCACACAAATCCGATGCAACAATGTGCTAAATATGGCAAAATGTCTCTCAAAATTGGGCTTCTATGTCAGAGAGCGAGAGACTCTCCTCTCAACTGCGACTGGGGCTCGAGCACTCTTCAGTTCTCTCCACACTGGGGGCCCTCCGGTGGCCTGGGGCGCTCCTGATTTACCCTCGGCAAAAGTCTCTCGAATGCGCCTCCCCGAGCTTCTTCACTGCTTCACTCCTGTGTCGCTATGGGGGTCATTGAAGAGAGTTTGCCATGAAACTCACTTTTTCACTCCGTTCGCCAGTGACCTTTCGACCGACACACACACACGCACGGCACAGTCTCTCTTCCTTCTTTGAGAGGAAACGAAAAACAAATTGGGGAAAATAAAACAAAAAACTCTCACTCCTGGCTTTTCTCCCAAATTTCCTCCTTCTCCCTGTCTTCCTTCTCTTTTTGGTGGAGAAAAAATGTTACGTGCTTCACGAGCGAAGCCCGTCAAGAGACTGACGATATGCGCCGAATTTTCGAATTCCGACACACATCAGCTGTCATCGCGCGGCGAAACTCCGAACCACCGACCACTCCATCCTCAGGCGCCCCTCAAGGAGTCGAAAAGCGACCTTTTGGAGCAACATTGCAGGACATTCTGAGCAGGATTCTGAAGGTTGAGTACACAAAATTACAGTTTCTCCTTATTAAACACCCTTAACTCAAATATCTTGACTTGTTGAGTGAAAAATATTATCATTTGCAGTCAATAATTTAATTTTGCTGCGTGGAAATCGAGTCTCTGCTTCGCGTCTTCACGGCGGAATCGATGGTCCGAAACTCGCCGTGAGTTTTCAAAACAAATTCTATATACGAAAAGAGAATCACAGGAATTTTGAAATAAATCTTTAGTCACAGATGGATTTTTCCTTTCGTAGCGCAGCGAAAAATCGCGGAAAGTACATTTATGTGTGTGTGCAGGACGATTTAGGATTTCCCCTTCCGGAAGCGCTGTCTCGCCTGGGCTTTCGAATATCTGTTGCGATTTGCGGTGCCGCCAGTCTCTGCAGGATCCTCCACATCCTCCTGCTTCTCGAAGCCCTCGAGCAGATCCACCGGCGCCTCGAGGTTGCCCTTCTTCTGCATGTTCACCATGTACCTGTACATCCTGTAGCCACCGTAGCCCAGGAGCGCGAGCGCCAGCGTGAGGAGGAATGCCACGGCCGGATGTGCCAGCGAAGGCTTCTCCGCCAGAAAGGTGTCCGCCAAGGAAATCAGCACGCCCAGCAGAGTGCCGGCCGCAACGAACATCCACGGCAGTCTCTTGGCCACTGAAAAGCAGGACAATTAGCTCCACTTCGGCGCACGCCCGCAGCCAATCTCACTCTTGGCTTCCCGGCTGCTAAGATTTGCCACTTTCTGCGCCGCATTGATGATCGTGATGTCATTCGGCTGCAGCTGGAGCGCCCGCCCGTACGCCAGGAGGGCTGTGTCGTAGTGCCCGGCCGCCGTCTGCACCTCTCCGCGCCGGAAGTAGCCCTTGGCCCAATCGGGACGCAGCTGAATGGCCCTGTCTGCGTCCTCGTTCGCGTAGTAGTAGAGCTTCACCTTGAGGAACGCCAGAGAGCGATTGCTGAAGAGCGTGGCGTCGGGATTAGGCGTCATCTTGATGGCCTGCGAGTAGTGCAGGATGGCCTCTTTGTAGTTGCCTGCGCGCACGCACTGGTTGCCCTGCTCCTTAATCTCCTCCGCTGTCGGCTCGCGGACGTCTGGGTCCGGACATTTTTCCGCATCGACCTGCAGGACGAGAGCGTCAGCGCTACGTCGCACTCCCCGCCCCACTCACTCACCATTGCTCCGCCTGTGGATTCCCGCACTATTCTACCAGACTTTCAGTCCCTTTTCTATTATTCGCTAAAGCAAAATACTGCAGCATGGAAATTCTATCAAATACTACATGTTGACATTTCGCTTTCGCCGCGATCGGCCATTTTCGAACACCCGAAGAGCTCCGGAAATTTATTTCATTTCGCAGGACAGCCGTTTGGAGCGCATGAATCGCCATTTGAAAAATCAGCTGTTATTATCAAAAAGCTCTTTTGCGATGCTTAAAGCTTCAACTGCGTGATCAATGGATCCTTCTTTATTCAAATTCATGCTCTATATAAAGATAACTTGACGTCTCGTAGATAAGATGGAATACATAAAATACCAGGATGAGCCTTAAAGACTTTTGTGGCCGCAAAACCTCATCTTCCTTCACTCGCTCAGATCATCATCAATGTTCACGTCCTGCAAAGGAATATTCATTGTCAGCGACGAACAAGAGGCCAGAGATCATTCACTCACGGATGTGTCAATGTTGTCGTCCAGCGTAATTCCCTCTATTTCCAGCTCAAACTCATCCAGGGAGGTTTTTCGCTTGGGCGCCGGCGGAACCGCCCTCACCGCCGGCTGATCACTGAAATCCAGCAGATTCCCCTCGGTGGCAGCATTTTGCGGCACTTCAGCTGGCATTCTGGGCTCGAAGTCGAAAGCTCCCTTGTCCTCGGCCGCCTTCATCTCCGCCACAGCATTCCGGTCGATGTTCAGCGGCAGACTGGCCGCGCGGCCGGCAGGAATGACGCCGCTCTCCGATTGCTGGAGGAATTGCTGCGTCCGCACGGCGTCGTGCATGCCGGGAAAGAGATTTTCATACTGCGCCGGATCGGCGAGACTCTGGCCAGCCTTCTCGTTTGTCTTGCCCAGCTCCTCTCGCCACAACTGTACGACGTGCGAGATCTTATCCGGCAAATATGTGCGCGCGAAGAAGGCCGCCTCAGGCAGGCGATTCGTGCTGATGAGAATGTCCAGACACGCCTCAGTGTCGCCGAGCAGAAACATGGAGAGGAAGGAGATATTGTGCTTCCCCTGGCGCGTGCCACTCTCGCCCAGGGTGCGCAACATTGCATCATCGCCACTGGACGTGGCCAGCAAGAGCAGCCCACCGAAGTCATTCGCCCGCTCCAGACACTCTCGCATCAGCTCAAAGTCATTCTTCGCCGTCGCCGCCTCGGCCAGCTGGCCCCACTTTTGCGGACTGTCCGAGTCGCGCGCCAACTCCAGCGCGATCTGCAGTGCCCCAATTTGCAGCGCCAGATCGAAGCGATGCTCCGGATCTGTGGACACCTGGAGCGCCTGCTCGCGAAAGCCTTGCTTCTCCAGGAAGTGCGCCACGCGCGTGCGATGCTCACGCGGAATTGTGGGCAGCACGCGATCCGCCGTTTCAAAGTCACGCCGCATCACAGCCGTCTGATACTCCAGCACGGCCAGCAGCAGTGAGAAGCTGGTCACATTCAGTTCCTTGTCGCCCAGGTACAGCCTGTTGTCCTTCGGCACGTAACCCAGCAGATACATCGTCCTGTCCAGGTGGGAAATCGTCACAATCTCGCCGCCCACGTAGTAATTGATCCTGTTGACGGAGTTCGTGTAGATGAAGCAGTCACCGACCCACAGGCCCGTCTTCACCACCTCTTGCACCTCGCCCAGCACCTCGAAGGCGTCCTCAATGCCGTCCTCCGTCAGTCCCTGCTTCGACTCCAGCGCGCCCGCGATTGTGCTCGTGTCCACGCTCAGAATAAAGTATGAATCGTCCGTGGCCAGGCACACCAGCGAGCCTGATTCGTTCCAGAACACGTGCTTCGGCTGCACCTCGATGCGCCGGATCAGTTCCATCGACTCCCAATCGTAGAACGTCAGCCCCGAGGACGTGCGCACGCCCAGCATGTAGCCGCCGAAAACACTCTCCGCGCCGTAGTCCGGCGTGAAGCTCTTCCGCTCCTTGAAGTTCCTGAACAGCTTCACCGTGCCGCTGCTCTCCCTGATCGCGTACTCACTGCTCTCCGACGCCCACACAAACTCCTGAGCCGAGCCGAAGGCCTTGTTTCGCAGCGCCATGGAAGTGTAGATTATGTACTCGCCATCGCCGCAAACCACCACGAAGCGCCCGTTGGGATTGTGCGCGATGGTCTGCGGATAGATCTCGCAGGCGCCCATGTCCTTCACGGCCACGGGCAGCCGCTCGCCGTCCTTGATTTCAGTGCCTGCCAGGGGAAAGAGTCAAAGACATAACTTTGAATTCCAACTTCCGGATCATTTTTGAGAGTCTCTAAACAAAGTGATTTGCTTCTTAAGTGTCTTTTTGTGCCAAATAATTCAATTAGAAGTAAGTGTCTATCTTATAAGACGTAAAACGGCAGCCTTTCTAATAAGACATGCTCGAAAAGCTGCATTCACATTAGACTCGGGAAACTCACCTTCCGGCAGCGCCTTGAGGTTGACTTGTTGCATTTCCGAGTGCTTCGCCCAGATGATCTTGCCGCCGTTCACGTCCATGGACATTGCGGGCTCCTCGCGGCCCACCTTGATGATAATGGAGCCCTCGTCGTAGCCCAGCGCCACGTTGTTGGTGCCGCGCATGCACGCCACTGTCCACACGCGCTCGAAGCCGTAGTTGAGGCTGGTCTCCAGGCGATACGTGCCCGAGTGCCAGATGCGCACCGTGCCGTCCTCGGAGCCTGTGAGCACGATGGGCAGCTCTGGGTGGAAGCACACTGCCGAGATGTTCTGCGCGTGGCCCTCCAGCGTCTGCACGCACGTCTTGTTCTGGTAGTCCCAGATCTTCACGTAGCGATCGTCGGCGCCGCTGATGAGGTACGGCTTGTCGCCGCCGTGGTAGTAATCCACGCAGTTCACGCCCTTCTCGTGGCCCTCGAGCGTGAAGTTGGCCACGTTGCTGCCCAGTTGCCACACCTTCACAGTCCTGTCCAGCGACGCACTGGCGAACGTGTTGTTATCCTTCGGATTGAACACAATCTGCATGACGTAGTGCGTGTGGCCCTCGAAGACGCGCTGACACGCCCACATCTTCTCCCAGTTCCACAACTTGATCAGCATGTCGTCGCTGCTGGTCAAGATCAGCGGCTGCGTGGGATGCACCGCGATGCAGCGCACGTAGTCCGAATGCGCCTCGAACGAGTGCACCTTCTCCAGCGTGTTGTAGTTGAATACGCGGATCTGCATGTCGTCGGATCCGGTGATGACCCAATTCTTGCGCGCCACGAAGCGCGCGGATCTCACGGGCAGATCGCACACCTCGAAGTCCTTCACCATCTGCTGGTTCTCGTAGTTCATCACGTGCACGTGACCGCTGTAGAGAGCGCACAGCATCCACGGCTCCGACGGGTGCAGATCCACACACTTCACCCGGTCGGAGCGGCTCGTGAGCCGTCTCTTGATGTCCAGCCGGAGAGGCTGCAAAGAATGAGGTTACGGTGAGTATTTTCCGCAATAAAAACCACAAGAAGTGGCCATAAATCCCCACAATGGATAGCTTAGCACCCGAAGAAGGTGCATCGTGTGAAAAATCATGGAAATTCACCGTTTTTCCTGCAGAACCTGATGAAATACTCAGTCTATGAGAATCAATCATTTTCCATCGGATTCACGAGGAATTTTATGATTTTCACACTCCACACACAATTGGACACATAAACCTACCATTTTTGCACAGAATCCAAGTAGATTTTCACTGAAATATCACACTTTTTGATGGAAATCAACAAATTTTCTCGAGACACCTCGAAACCGAAGACGTGTCGTACTTCTTCTTCTTCTGCCATCAGTTCTCCTGAGTCGCTCGTGCTGCCACAGTGGTGGGTGTTTCAACAATTCGTGCCTCAGCAGAAGCGCGCCAATTTTACTTCGCGCCACCAGAAGAAATTATGTGCATTTTCTCTGAAACAATTTAGGACTCAATGAAATAACTTCTATGTTGCATAAGAAATTGCAAGAATCTCTTTGGCACTCATATTAGTTGCAATATCTCGCGATACAAAGGTCCCAAAATTCATTGAAGCATATTCAATATCTTCTCAATTCATCGTGAAACGCTTGAGTGGGCAAATGTAATGTAATAAAAAAATTCCAGGCCTCTCAATCTATTGATTGCTCCTGAAAAAACACATCTTCTGACCCTTATCAAAGTTCTATTCTTGCAAAATTCACGGGTTGAAAATCGATGTCACCAAATTTAGAAGAAAAAAGAAAAGATTTGAATACAGAGATGCTTATTCACTCAATTATTTAGAGTAGATGGGGTAAAATTTGCAAACTCCGTACATTTTACTTTCGGTTGCCTGGAGGATTAATCCACGAGGATTATTAAAAGACCCAAATTAAATAAGACTTGAATTTAATGCGATGACTGTAATGAAGAGTCAAATTTTCAATTTAACATTTAAATACATTAACTTAATTTTCTTTTAATGCATATTAATAAATAGGTGTTCCTGAAAGATCTTGCGATTAAATAATATGTTCATTGAGATAATCAAAATTAAAGCAATTATAACGTACTTAAAAGGCGTGGCTTCGGACTGGGCGGAGCTTCTCGGAATCTCCTTTCCGGTCAAAATTGCTAATAAAGTTAACAGCGCAGATAAAAAAAATGCAATAATTCATGCTCAGCATGACACTAATTTGACTATCATATTAGGAACCGTTTAGACTTCCGTTTGTGATGCCGCGAAACACCAGAAAATACCCGCTATAAAAAATTCTTACGGCAACATGTGACATTATTACGTAATAAATCATTCTGAGAAGCTGGAAGCTTTCATCTACTTGCTTATGTACATCCTATATGACTCCCACGAGGGGATTCTGGAGTATTTCAGGACACAAGCACGCGCCGTGCGGCGACAGACACTGTTCGCAGAATGAGGAGCGATCAATAATAATGCTTTACGCGTGGGAAAAAGCTCATTATTAAACAATTTCTCGTATCAATAAATTTTCCACAAAAGTGCAATGGTATTTTTGGATAATCAGGAAGACACAGAAAAGCACTGATTGACCAGCATTATCATTGTTGTGTGCAATCGCTGGGTTTTTTTTTGGCTGATGGCACAACAAGTGGAATTAGCGCTGTCTCGTCTGATTGCAAATCCCCGAATTTTTCTGGGCGTTGCCTGATGACTTACCCATGATCCCGGATCACCTGGCAGATAACTTCCCGAACAGTCAATCGCGATATCGCGACTTGTTCTCAAAATCTATGCAAATATTCCTTCGCCGTGCGAGAGTGATTATCGGGGCAGATAATGTACAGCCGAATGGTGGGAAAAGAAACTCCCTGTGAAAAACTGCGAGGCAGTGTTCAGTGAAAAGCCAGTCGTGTTGCGAACATCCAAGTGAAAACATCTCTCTCTCTCTCTGTGGAGCCAATTTTCCAGCGCACGCAATTTCACTCTCGGAATCCTTTCATCGCGCGCGCGAATTATCCCAATCACTGATTCATAACGAGAGTGTGCCAAACTTCAGTTTAGTGGCCGATGGAGTGAAAGTGGAGGATTTTCCTGTCCGAGAATCAATCATACGCGCCAATATCTTCGCAAAGCTCCCAGTTAATTCCCCTGTCAAAAAACAGTGAATTCCTCGCGGAGTGCAAATTTCGCTGATAGACTGTGATAAGAGAGCGTCTTGGGAAAATCAATAAAACCCGTGTCGACCTTTGAGTGCGATTTCACGGCTCTTTTACCTCTGACTTGCACTTTGGCACCCATCCAAAAACTCATCGAATCATGCTTGACACGAGGAATGAAATTTACCATCAGAAGACAGCAGAAATCGGCGTGTCCATCATTGGCGACACTCATGCATTCCAGACTCAACCCTCTCAAGTGTCTTCCAATGCAGATCTCCTGGACTCCTACGCTGCACAGGAGAAACCGAAGATCCTCGGTGAGTCGTGCACTGCAAAACACGACAAATTTTCACTGTGATAAACAAGACTTGCATTCTAATAAACTCACACGAAAATACATTTGAATAACTGCCAATAAAATTTACGACAGTCTACCTTGAAATAAACAGTGCAGCACCTAAAATGTGCAAGCCAAGTTGTAAGTTTCTGTGTGTACAGAATTATTGTCATGCAATTCAACTTACAATGTCAACAAGGAATAGAGGAATTTCAATAAACAGCACTTGTTATCGCAAATATGATAGTTATAACAATGGCATTACGGAAAGAATATTATTTTTTAAGATATGCAGAAATTCTCTGCACATTTAATATAAGAATGATTCCTAGTTATTACTTAAATTACCACCCTAAGTCCCGCCCATTCAAATGCCACGCCTTTCTGTGCGCTTTCTTGCAGGAATATCCGAGGAGACATTCGATAACATCACCAAATTCGCAGCAGAAGTGGCGGGAACGGCCATCCTGCTATTCGTCGGCTGTGCCAGCTGCGTCACTGGCCTAGACGTCGATCCCCCGCCCATGCTCACCCCGCTGTCCTTTGGCTTCATCGTCACCGCCATCATCACGATATTCGGTCACATATCTGGGGCTCATCTCAATCCTTCCGTGACCATCCTGGCGCTTATCCTCCGCATGATCAGTCCATGGGTGAGTTGCTGCCCTTTCCCACCAGCACAGGTTCTCCCTTTCACTCGCTCCTCCCGATCCGCAGATGGCGCTATTCTACGTCATCGCACAGGTGGTGGGGGCGATTGTGGGATACGGTTTCCTGGTGGCCATCACACCCGCCGAGGTCTTTGCCAAGGAGGACGCGCTCTGCACCACCACAGTTCATGAGAAGCTGTCCATCGGAGAGGCTTTCCTCACTGAGTTTCTCATCACGTCGGTGCTCATTTTCACAGTGTGCGGCGTTTGGGATCCGCGCACAACCAAGTTGCAGGACTCGTCCGCCATCCGGGTGGGCTTCGTGGTGGCCGTCCTGTCCATCGCCGGCGGGCCCTACACGGGCGCCAGCATGAATCCCGCCAGGAGTCTCGCACCTGCCATCTACACGGGCGTCTTCGACGACCAGTGGATCTACTGGGTGGCACCGCCGCTGGCCGCCATCTGCACAGCGTATCTGTACAAATTCGTCTTCTGGCGCGAAGACACGGAGAGGAAGAACGTTTGACGAGTGTGAGCTCGCCGTCCCAATGATATTTCTCAAATTCTGCGATCTTGTGATGATCATTATGTGTAAAGATCTACCAAATGTGACACTGCAAATAAACTCTATGCACAATTATTGCGACAATCATTAAGATTACAGCTTGCAGGTGGAGAATCATAAATTGATCACCAGATATAAACCTCAAATCCCACTATAATTCTCGCTCTCTCACTCAAAGTCTGTCTGTTTGGTCTCTTCGCTAGTCAAACACACACAAACTTACCTTGCCATTCTCTCTTCAACACCAGACAGACTGTTTCGCTGCTCAGTTTCTTTCAATATTTGTAAAAAAAAATATGAGATGGAAAACAAGCTTGAAAAAATTAGGCAAGAAAGTGAAGAACAAGAAATTTTTGTATAGAAAGAAAATAACAAATGTTTTTATTAAATATAGTAAAAAAGAAGTGATAAAATCATGAAACAAAAATAGAAACACAGCGATAACGCATGAATAACACAAGATGAAGATAGTAAGAAATAAAGCGAGAAAATCCGGTAAGTCAAGTGTTAATGCTAAATTACTCAAGTCAAATTCACGTGACTCTGGTTACATCTTCAGATGATCGTGCCATACATTCGCGATCAAACAGCAATTTTTTGCAAAACTCCTGCAAGTGGTTGAAATTTGAACAGAGTCTCTGCGGGCATGTTTACTTCCAAAGCCTCTCATTTCTGTCCGTTTCGCTCTCGAACATCATCATTTTCACCGCTGGCGCGAGAAAAACGCTGTTTTGTTCCTCTTGGGTGCAAAAGCGGCGCACCTTCATTGCACGCGGCGAAATCTTATCACTGGCAATTAACTGGAAAATCCTACGAGGAACAGACTTAATCCCAGGCCCCAAATCTCATGTAATTCTCTCACATCGTCAATGAATCTTGCTTGATTGCCTTCGTCGCACCTCCGAACGCACCAAGAGCGCCGTGCCAGTGGATTTGTGTGCTTTTCATCACTGATTCGCATTGAGAAGTGATGTCAATAATATGCCTAGTTTGGTTAAGGTTTTATTGTGCTTGTCCGCAGTTTTAATGCGCCTCGAGAATGCACCATAAATTGAACTTATCTCCTTCTCTGGGTGAAAGCCAAGGAGCGCTTAAGAAGTGTGCTCACACATTTCCGCTCGCGCAGGACAGGTGCTTATCAAAGCTCATAAATGCCGAAATTGTACTAAGCAGACTGAAATAGACTTATATTCAATTAGAGCTTGTTTAGAGCTATAAATCTAATTGCAATTAGACGCTTTTTTTTACAACTGCCAGAACAATCACATTGAGGTCAAATGAAGAGCTTAAACTTTCTCAAATCCTATCTATGAGACTTGCTAAATATTGCCAATTATACTGATAAAATCAATTAAAATCTATAACAAGATTTGCATAACTTAGAAGATTCTTTTTTCTAACTACCAGAGAAGGTGAGAATTTTTCACTCGAATCGGTCCAAACAAGTAAAATCTCTAAAATAGTGAAATGCGGGGAAAAACGTATATCACACCCGAAGCCAAATTCAAATAGACAATTATTAAAATATTCTGAGTATCAAATATTTTGACTCTTAGCTTGAGTTTCTTCTAATATTTCTTTCCTTTACATCCAGAAAATATCGACAAATCATATTCTTAAAAGTTCAAAAGTTATAATATTCAATTAAGTGTCTTATATAATAAGATATTAATATAAAGTTACATTGAACAGTCAAATCTAATTTACATATTTCACATGAGAGAAGCAAATGAAGTAAATATTCTTGTTCTGTGAAGAATCGATTAAAATTTGAATATAAATTAGCATTTCTGAATTTCTCACATCGCTCAGATTCCACTGTGTTTTTTGTGCGTCGCGAGAAAGTTTGACAAAACCTTTTGCAAATGTGGAAATTTTGGGCGTGTTAAAAGCGGAAATGCTGGAAGTTTTGCTCTCGAAGGATTGCTCGCCATTGGCAAATGATGCCATGCATAAATTTGTGGACATTATTGTTAGATCATCGATAAAATCTCCCATTCACTTCTCCATGTAATTTTTCATCAGCATTTTAAACATATGCAAAAATTTGAGGTTTGAAGCTGAATTAAATAGCAAAACTGTTGCAGTGCATGAACTCTTTTTGGGACTCATCATCACGTGCGATTCGTGTGGATCTTCACGCGAGAGACACTCTGGCAAAATGTCACAATTGTGCTCATTGTGAAATCACGTCTCTTTGTGGCCAAAATAAGCGCCTAGAAGAGGTTCCTTCTGTGATTGCCATTGAGAATGCAAAAAGGCCGCGCTTAGAGGAAGAGAGAAAAAAAGTTCAATGTTCTCGCGATGCGCGATTGAATAGACAAAACGGAAAGAGAAGGTGGAAAAAGGTCAAGTATCTCCTTTTCGATGTCAGAACCGAAGACTTTAATAATCTTTGGCTGGGGCAATAAATGATAAACTTTCTCAGCAAACGAACGCACTTTGTGGGTAGGAAAATATTTCACAATAGGACAAGACAAGAGACCTTCACGATGTCTTGAAATTGTGGGTCTAATTGTGGGTGATAAAGACATTTCTCAAAAGCCAGTAAACAAGCGCGAAACACTGCTATCCCCATTAGCACACCTCCGTGTGATTCCTCAAAAAATGCCCAAACACATCGAATGGCGAAATCGCGGCGATTTTTCACCAAGGCGCCAGCCAAGAGTGCACTTGAGCCAAATCCGGCCGCTTCACGCGGATTTGCTGGTCCAATTGAGCCATAAAGTGCATCGCGAGACACGCGAAAGAATGCCGTGGAACACCTTCTGAGTGAAGAAGCCACTCGTCATCGGAGGAAATTAATTTATTGGCAGCATTTTATCACCATTATCACGGGTCGACTCGAGTGGTAAAGACACGGAGTGGGTGAGATTACGAACTCCTTCATTTATGGTCTCAAGTCGCGCAATTCATCAGAAATCTCGAATGCTGGAAAGCCATCAAATACACAGTTAAGCTTCTCTCTTGCAACATTGATTTACTGTCTCACGAACACACTCGCGAGCGAATTAGAAGGCTTTAGATTCGATGGTGATTCAAAGCGATCAACGGTGAAAGTCCGCTTTTTGGTGAACACACCAAATAAACACACTCAAGAGAGATTCAAAAAGTGTCAATCATGCGTTCTATTCATAGCTAAAAGCTTTTACTTCAGCGGGTGAAAATGTTTTCCCAAACACACTTTTAGCTAAGACTGGGAATAATCCTATTTTAATTTTATTTACTTGGTAAATTATTACCGAAGAAATGTCTAAAAAAAAACGTTGGAAACTTCCAAGTGAGCACACAAGACGTCTTGGGGAAATTCTGATTGTTCTCCTTGGAAATTCGTTAAGTGCATCAGATATTATGATAACCGGATTAAGCAATTTCAACATTTTCCTTGTTTAAATCATTTTCAATTCACCTTTTTCTTTCTTTAAATTATTCTAATTTTTAACACGTCTTCTCTTTACATTAAGTCATATTTAAATGTGATTATGAAACATGGAAACAATGTAGTTAAACGTCTTATTTCTCTTATTTAAAGCTTTGCAAGCTTCGTGTATGATTTACAATATTTGCCTTCGTCGATAAGAAAGTCTCTAAACATTTCTTGTTTTCTGATAAATCAAAAATGATCGTGAGGAATTTAATGTCCAGAGTTTGCATTCCGAAGAAGAATAACCTAAAATTTAAATTAAATTATAAGCTGATTTTTTTGCACGTTTCGGCTATTCATCTGTTCTCTTCCTTTTGCATTATGTGTTTTAAAGAAAAATTGAAAAATCCTCATGGCAAATACGAAAGCAAGTACTTAAGCTGACGCTGTTTTCGTGCAAAATCGATTGATCATTGCACCGATGCTAATAAAGTGGCAAAATATTGAATATTTCAATTCTAATTAATATTCTCATTTCTAAAACAAAAATTTCCCAAATTTTTCATCTCTACCAACAATATTTGAGCTCAAAATTACTGAAGAAGAAGAAAAAACATAGATACGGACGGATGGTGTGGAATTACCCGAAAAGACCATCACTTTTTCAATAAACCTTCTTTCTTTCACTCTCTCGCAACTTTTTTGATGCACTCCGCGTGGTGGGATGACTTTTTGGTGGGAAAATTGAGAGTCTCTCGAAGAGAAATGAAAATATAACCGATCGCCTCACCATCACTAGTTCATTGGTGTCTATCGAGCATGATGGAGTAAATCTGGTCACTTGCAATTTCATTTTTCTCAAATTAGACTCGCAGTTTTTTTGCTCTTCTTCCTGAACAGTCGAAAACAGACAAATCCGTGGCTTTCTTGTGCTCATATCGTGAGTGGGACAAATTGTAGCAAAAAGCACGTCGACTGTGTTTTTGCATTTGAGTGTGCCTTTGAATTGTTCACCGTGGTAAAGTCATTAAGTCGGAAAATTGGCTGTCGATGCAATTCACGTGCTTCAATGCTACAATCTCGAGCTGTCTTTTCAGGTGATTGCAAAGTGCGCCAAAAATGACGGAGAAGATAATGAAGAACATCTACTCAATTGCCAGCGGAAAACCCATTGAGTTGCCTGATCGACTCACAAAATCCAATGGAATTGTGTGTAAGTTTGATACTGAATGACCTCAAGTTATAGATTCGTGTTCACGCAATTTCACTGTCATTTCACCTGACAACGATTCGACTATCGCGTCATATCGAAAGAGACAAGACAATTTTACAAAGTTACTCAATTAAAATCCACCAGTGGAGAAATTTGATTGTGAAGATCTTTGCCAATGCTGACATCACCCTTGAACTTACGTGCGTCATGTTCCCTTAAACTTTCCCACCTGGGCGCTCTTCAATGCCAAATTGCGCGGGAAAATGTCATTATCACGGATTTCAGCGATGAGTCGCACGCAATTGTCACGCAAAATTTGCTGCTTCCTATATATTGAAGAAAAGCTCCGGAAAAGCGCCATCAGTTGTCTGATAAGCGAATCTAAAGCAGTGTTATCAACTACCAGAGTTGAATTTGAGTCGAAGTTTCGAATATGTTGTATTATATTGCCAAGAAAATTGTCTTATAATACATCGTAGCTTAACTTATTAAACTTAGACAGAAGAAACACGCTAGATTTAGTTATTCACAAATAAATAACAAATTTTCTCTGCTTTTTTTCTTCATTCCACGATAATTTTAGCTACAAATTCAAGATGTTGCTTTGGTTAGTTTGCTTAAAAAGTTCTAAAGCAAAAGAACTAAGAGCAAAGACAATACTTTAATTGAATATTGAGCTTTTCAGAGAGTTCTTATTAAATTGTGTCGTTTTTTCTATGGTTTCTCGTTAGTTTCTTAAAACAATTTGCCAATTTGTCCGCATTTTTCATGTGTTTCACCAACACTCAAAATCTAGAAAATAAATACTATGAATCTGTCTTATGTTCAACATTTCCTAGTTCAGCCCAGTTTATTCATAAGCTAACCTATGCAGTGCTTATCAGTGACCTCTCTTATTGCATGAAAATGTTCTTTCCTCCTAACCTTAGCAGAAAAAAGAGATTCAAGCTTGTCGCTAGATAAAAGTGTCCGCATTCATAATTCGTGCGTTGTAACAAAATTGAGATCTCGGGATTTTCTTGACACTCCTTATCAAAGACCTTTTCCCACTCACACTCATACATCACGGACTCCTCGCATTAATTTCCCTCATCGATCACAACTTTTCAGTTCACTTTGCGACTAGCTTGAGTGAAGATCGATTTCACCGCTAATTCCCTTCTACAAAATCCAGTGAGTACACATTAAACTTCTTTGGCCTTTACTGCGCTGCTATCAAAGGAAAAGAACAAAAAATATTGTCACTGAATTTGAGCTGTAGCGAAAATCACTGGTTGATTGATAATGTGTAGATTTGTGATACTGTGCAGAAAGTGCATTTCTTCATACCATGGCGTTATGCTAATGCAATTCAGTTTCTTATGCAATAAGACGTAAAACGAGGAGGTCACGGTGAGGCCAGGGCGCCTTTTAGTCCGTTTATCCACACTTCTTCGCAATCGCACTTCAAGAGGGTGTAAACAGTAGCAATGTTTACTCTCTTATCAGTGGAGAGTTCATAAAAGTGCACTTGTAGCGACACTCCATAAAGACATTTGAGCGCAACAGCAAACATCCACAGTGCTTTATTGCGGTCCAACTAATATAAATTTACACACTCTTCCAACGCAATTTTTGGCAGGATTTTGTGAATTTTGCACAAAAAACGCGCCATAAATGTAATCTCAGAAAGAAATTAACCCCGTCAAACGATGTCTTGAAGCCATCAAACAAATCAGCGAATGTTGTTCCTATTTCTCCCTCTCTGGACATAATGACAACTCGACATGCTGATAACCATTCTATGCTGAGATAACGGCCATGAATTTCAAGCAGCCAGAAATTTTCAACACTCATGATTTACCATTGCAGTGGCAGTGATTTAAATTCGCCACATGAGACGAAAGATTGCTAAAATCACGGACGATTAGTTGGAAATAACTTGAGAGATTACAGTCTACATTATATCACTCTTATCGCTTGAGATTAGACGCCTTAGGGGAAGGCGGGACAACTCCGCAAACGACCAATTCTCCTTCACTTTACACGATGCACATTTGTCTATTCTTTCAGGCATGAGTTCGGCCACATTGGAGAGAATCTCACTGTTCCTCGCTGAGATGCTGGGAACAGCCATCCTCGTCTTCATGGGCTGCAGCGCCTGCATCTTCAGCACCTCCGCACTCGTGATTTGCATCACCTTTGGCCTGGCCGTGATGCTCATCGTCAACGTGTTCGGGTGCATATCGGGAGCCCACTTGAATCCTGCCGTCACCATAGCCGCAGTGCTCTACAAACTCATCCCGGCGGCGGTAAGAAAAGATCTCTGCCCAGAGCCATTAAGAACACAGAATCAAATCAAGCTAGTAAGATCAAACCTTGGATTCATCCAAGCACTCGAAGGACTTAAGACTCCTCATAAGACGACAAAACGTAGACTGGATCGAGATAAGTTATAAACGAGACACTTTCACCCAGCATAAAACGTCAAGGGATTTTTGCACAGAAATTGTGGTGTACAGATTTCAGGCTTATTCTCTCCGTCTTGATCACTCACCGCGCTCTCTTTTCAGGTGGCGCCAATTTACATGGCGGGCCAGTTCGTGGGCGCTTTTGTGGGCTTCGGCGTTCTGAAATCGCTCGTGCCAGGACACATCTTCCGTCCTGAAGGCGCCACTGGCCCTGGTGTGTGCTCCACGGTGCCCAACGCCGAGGTGTCGCCCTTCGCAGCGCTCAGCATGGAGTTCATCATCACGGCAGTGCTGATCCTCATCTGCTGCGCCGTGTGGGATCCGCGCAACGCCAAGCACCACGATTCCGTGCCACTGCGCTTCGGGCTGGCCATCACGGGACTCGCGCTGGCCGGCGGCCCGCTCAGTGGCGGCAGCATGAATCCCGCCAGGTCTCTGGGACCGGCGGTGTGGAATGGAGACTACCAGCACCACTGGATCTACTGGGTGGGACCGATTCTGGCCAGTCTGATTGTCACGCCGTTCTACAAACTCGTCTTCGCCGCTAGGAAGGAAGAGGAGACTCCCGCCAAGGCGTCCGGCGAGGACTTCCCGCTGAGTACCAACAATGTTTGAATTGCCACAGCGAAATCCAGCCCGAATACTCAATATCTCCAATGTGAAATGTATAACTTATGCGTGCAGCCGCGTCTGCCCAATAAAAGCCCGGTTTGTTAATTCCATATTAGTCTCTATATTCCTTAAAAACACTTACTTAGACACTTATATCAAGGGCATTCTGATACTATCTCCACTTTTTCTTCGCTACAGTGCCAATTTTTGCTGATGCCTCGCACTAAATTTCACGTCTCTTCATTACACATAAACAAATTATACATCATTAAGCGTTTCTCTTTTACATTAACTTGAAAGAAGTGTCCTTCCTCGTAGCTTGAGGAATGCAATATCCATTCCTTCAGTAGATCACCTCGTACACCGTGGCCTTCTTGTCACCCGATCCCGTGACAATGTACTTATCATCTGCGGAGATGTCGCAGCTCAGCACTGATGACGATTCCTTCGACTAAAGAAAAAACACACCGTTAAAAATATGCTCAAGATCCTATGCAACTCTCGTATTTCGTCTTATAATGCGTAAACCAAGGCGACATTCATAACTAATAAACCATATGACTTGCGAAATAAACGAACGAAATTGTCGTATTACTAATAAAATCTTGTGTCTTATCTAACAAGATGTGATTGCAAAGTCTCTCAGATTGCCCAAAAATGCGCACTCACTTGGAAGATCGACGCTCCGTAGGGCGTCCTCCAGGCGTTCAGCAGATTATCCTTTCCTGTCGACACGAACCACTTGCCGCACGCGGCGAAACGCAGGCTTAGCACGCAACTCTCGTGCAAGTGCAGCTGATACTTGTCCGGCTTCGTGGCGTGCAGAACCTCGACGTTGGAGTTCTCCATGCCAACCGCCAGCCACTCGCCGGTCGGGCAGTAGCCCAGAGAGAAGATCTGCGAACTGAAGTCGTGCTGCTGCAGTTGTCTGCCCTCCCGCAAGTCCCAGGAGCGCACTGTGTTGTCCAGGCCTGAGAGGACGAGAAAAGAGACATTGATGAGTATATAATGGAATTATGCGACGACTGAACATTTTCTCTTTGCTTCCAGGCTTGAACTCTGGTCTTGTCGGGTCAGCAACTCACCGCCAGTCCACAGCTTTGTGCCGTCGGCGCTGATGTCGATGCAGGAGGCGCCGTCCGTGTGGCCCTGGAACTGCCTGACCAGCGTCTGATTCTGCAGATCCCACACCGCAATGTTGCCGTCGGAGCAGCACGAGAAGCAGACCTTGGAGTCTGGCGAGATCGCGAGGGCGTAGCACGCGGGCGCGCTGGACGTGAGCTCAGCCTTGATGCGCGGCGTGGGACTAGCCAGATCCCAGATCGAGAGGTTGGACGCCTCGCCGCCCACGATCAGTGTCCGACCGTCCGGCAGCAGCTTCACGGAGCGGATGTAGTTGTCGCGCTGCAGGCAGTCCAGCTGCGACACGGGATTCTTGTTGCTCGGCTGCGAGATGTCCCAGGCCTTCACGCACCCCTTGCCGCCCGTGTAGACGTACTTGGTGGGATTGGATATCGTCACGGCGCACACAACCTCGCCGTGAGATAGAGTATTGATTTGACGCGCGTGCCGCGGGATTCCGGGTCCGATCAGGGCGTCCGGAGGAAAGGGCACGGGCTGCATCTGGCCGTCGGCGCTCACGTGAAAGGAGTAGGCCCTGAAAGAGACGACAGCGTGAGTGAAGCGGCGTGCAATGACATACCCCAGAGAGGAAATGTACAAACTCACGGTTTTCCGCCAGGAATGGCGCCCAGAGCGGGTCCCAAAGGCGCCCTCATCTGCGGATGCGGATCGAAGCCCACCTGCAGCGGCGCGCGTGGATAGTTATTGATGGCCGGCGGGAGATTGTTGTGCACCCCAGGCGCCCCGTACGCCGCTTGCAGCTCGTGCGGCGCGGCGCCATTCAGGGGCCCCAGATAGTGCGGATAGCCCGGATTCAGCACGGGCGGCTTCGCCACGGCCTTCACCACGCCACCCGGCGGAGCGCCAGCGTGGCCGTTAGCGCTAGAGTTGGTGGGCGTGACGGACTTTGAGATAGGCGTCGAGGGCTTGTCCTCCAGCTTCTTGTTTGACGGCGTGGACGCGTTCGACGAGGTGCCGGATCGCGGCGAATGCGGCCCCACGCGATCGCGATCCTGGTGATCCAGCTTCTTCACCATCAGTCCATTCTCGCGGGGCGAAGCCGTTCCGTTGCTGTGATGCTGATTCGGCACCGGCGACATGGGATTCGACTCCGAGGCGTCATCAACCACGAGATCCTGATCGGACTTCTCCCCGTCGGATTGCTATAAGAGACACTGCAAATTATTCACGGGCACGCAAATTACGCACAGCACTTGTGGACAGTCTTACATGGCCCAAATCCTTCTCCTCCTTTTTCACCTTCTTCAGCTCAGGCGATCGCGGCGGGTACTTTTCCCGCTCAGTCGGCGAAATTGAGTTTCTCTGCAAGACACAAATTGGAGTTAATCCCGATTAAATTGCCTCTTATTCAGGGCAGATTTTCTAACTCTCTGACTTACATGGCGATCCTCAGGGACACTGAGGCCGCTGCTGCTCTTCGACTCTTCGGGCCGGTGGATCTCCTGTTTGTTGAGGATGGCCAGCGGGTGCTGCCCGGGCGCATTGGACAGCCCAAGCGGCCCTCCGAGGGCGCCCGGCGCTATGCTCGGGTGCGGCATCCCGATGGGCATCGGTGGCGCACCGGCGTGCGCCGGCAACTGCTGGGCGTGCATCTGCTGCAGCAGTCGCGGCAAGTCCGGCCGCTGCTGCCCGATCACAGCGTTCAGTTCTGTCATCGTGATCTGTTTGGCGCGATCCACCGCCGTGGCAACTTGCTGCTGATGCTCCTGCGACAGGAAAGGTACGATTTGGGCGATGATGGCGTTGAGGCGCTTCGAGATCTCCGTCTGCAATTGTCCAAAAAGAAAGAAAATAGAGTTGTTTCTACTATCTTCTCTGCTACTGTAAATTCCTTGATAAATTCTAACGATGCAGAATTTAACATCTTATTCAATAAGATGTACTGAAGAGCAAAATCGTACAGAGACAATCTCTTGCCGGCTGCGCAAAAATCCCCACCCGAATGGGGAAAGAGAGAGAGAGAGATTAGTTCAGTGGGATGTGTTCATGGGATAGTTATGGCAGCCACATTTGGTTTCGATGGTAGTTTTGTTCAGCCGGCTGGATGTGGCCAAAGTTTCCACAGAATTGCGGTTTTATTTATACACCAGCGCCGGATTCGCAAGGGTTGAGTGGATGGTAAAAGCGGGCGAAGCGTTCAATGTGGGTGGCTTGTGTGGCAAATGGATGTGTGGAGAGTTCTGGCGGAGGGATCACATTCAAACTAGTCTCAATCCTCTCGGCCACAGTGCATCGCCGTCCCGCATGCCTCAGCTTCCACCCCCGCAAATATGCTCCAGATAAATACACAATGCAAAGAGTGCTCTCCGGCCAACGCCAAACCCATTCAATTTCCCATCCCTTCGGCCACCCAGCAGGAAAAGCAGAGGTCGTGGAGTGAAAAGGCATGGCAAAAAATATCGGTGTGAGAGACGGAATTTATTCACCCTCGCCGAATGCCAAGAAACTCCGAGTCAATACGACTATGTAGCACTCTTCTATATGCTACTACTCACGGAACATTATATATGAAAGTCTCTCCTAAAAGCTTTTCCATTTAAATTGCCACCCAAAGTATTCGCCCAGTGGCGGCGGGAAATTTAGCAAATTGGACTCTTTTTGTGGAGAATCTCAAGTAGAAACTGAAACTCACCTGCTTGTGCATCTCCACATTCAATCCATATGACATTTCATAGTACATCACATAGTGTCTCTGCATTTCCGTCTTTTCCTGCGCCAATTTCTCGCATTCCATCTTCAAACTAAATAAACAAACAAAGTCAAAATAGCAATTAGTTAATGCACAAATCATATCTACACTGTTAGGCATCACACTCAATCTTAAAACCCTGTATCTTGACTTTACGTACTTTTTCTTGATTATGTGTTAAACTTAGGACTTGTTTAGTGTCTAAAAAATATGACAAAACATCAATTATATGACTATATGATAATTAATCTCTCAATTCACTGAAAATTGTGCTTTTCCTTGAACATCTTACTCAAAATTCATGTTAAGATTGAGTCAAAAGTCAGGGAAATGTGATATTAGTCAAACTATCTCCCCCTTGTTCGTAGAAGTTCAACTGACTCACTTGTGATACTGAGCCTGCAGAAAGTTAAACTCCTCCTTGATCCGGTCGCAACTCTCCACCACGGTGAACTTGAAGGGTTGTCCTGGCTGCGGCGGTCCCTGTGCAGGAAAGAGAGAAGCAAACAGTGTCAAACGAAAGAGCAAATATTGATGGGGATTGAAACTGATTCTGTGGGTGAAAGATGAGCGTTGCCGATGGAGTAGTTGCCATAGAGAGACATTAAGCGAAAATTTGCATTTTGCTGGCCAAAAGTTCAACCTCAACCACAATCGCCACAAATTGCTCCAAAAGAGCCTCTTCTCTCATCCCACCACCTAACCGACATTTCAGCTCGTTCAGTGCAATTTCAGCACTCTGTACACCCGCCGTAACGGGCAATAATAAACTCACTCCTCCAGCTTCTGCAGCACACGCTGAGGTGTGTCTGAGCACAGGATTTAATCAAGCCCAATGAGTTAAGGAGCAAGAAGCAAATTTTTATCCCATCTATTGACTCAACTCGACCTCCATGCCATCACCCATCTCCGGCACATGGCTTATTTTATCAGCACCTACGCCGAGAGTAAATTACACACCATCCCCAGGCAGTCACCGAAGGGTGAAACTCCGCTGGAGATACAATTTTGCCGTCATCATCTGCCAAGCTGCTGCTCTCGATACATTATGTGCGGGCAGAGTAAATAGGAGCTCACCTCATAAGTGGATCTCCATGTACAAACAATCCAACTCAAATCACCCTCAACTCTCACCACCGCTATTCATCTGCCATCCTCATATTTATTCACACAACACACCAGAGCGTCAATGTCTGACACTGTAGCCGACTCCTGCCCCACCGCCCCTTGTCGTCCACAAACCCAAATCCAATGAAACTTCTTCAGTGGCTCGGCATCCGCACTGACAGTGTCGGATTTTTGGGAAAAGAGGACAGAGATTTCGGAGATTGAGGATTTTAAAGAGAAAAGTCATGCAGTGTTGCACAATTCGACAATTCATTGACAAAGATAAGAATTTGTACTTCAAACACGACAAGAGACAACTGTATAATAACAGCAAACTATCGCGTGACGAGTCAACATCCCAAAATAGATGAGAAAGTAGAGATAAGACACGAGAATGCTGAAAGATTTGATGAAATCATTCAACATCATGCTTCCGACAATTTAGGAAAGAACGTCGTGTTTACGAAGGACGTCAATTTAACCAAAAGAAAAACAATTAAACAGTCTAAAGAAGATTAAAAGCCATTTGGAATTAGAATGAAATTAAATTCTTAAGAAGTTATACAATAGAAAGGGCTCAATTATTACAACAACTTCTCCTCTCATTCTTAATTTGTGAATATTGATTAAATACACGAACATTTTGTTATCTTGTACGAACATTGAAATAGCGGACATACAGTGTGAGCGAACCAAGAAGGGTTTCATTTTGAATGAGGTGCTCTGCGGGGCGGAAAGTGAATGGAGGTGTGCAGAGAGAGGCAGAGTCTGACTCTGGATGATTGTGGCTTGGTGGGTGACGAGTGGGGTTTTCCTCGTGCTGCCTTGAGTAAACCACAACCACCCCGTCAAAATATCACCGTAGTCGTCGCCATCGTTCTCCAGCGGTTGGCGTGTGAAACCACCGTACATTCTCCCAGCGCCGCCATCGCCACCCCGCCCCGCCAGGAAAAACCCCCTGTGCGCCGTGTTTGCTCGCCAAACCCTCGTCTTCCCGCTCACAGATATGCTAAAGCCACCCACTCTGTCTCTCCGCACTCACACCCCCACAGAGCCAGCCCTCGAGTTTCAGTGTCGAGCTTAAAGCTCATGCTCGAGACGGCAAGATGGAAATTCACCGGCTGTGCGGTGGCTTCAATAAAACGCCTCAAACTATGCAGTGTCATGCAAACTTGCTCAAACAGTTCGTCATTCAACCTAATCAAACAGAATTTATGTACATTTCACTGGGAAATATTATTTGAGCAGAGTGTGCACATACACAGTGCAAGAGACAGTGTCCCCAAAAGGGAGAAAATATATGCCATTTGGCGCCATTCTCACACAAAGGCTTATGCAAGCTCATAGTTTTCTTTTAATTCATGCACTTTTCCATGCAACTCTCATACATTTCCTGATCACGTTCGCCTCTCCAGCCTGTCTCACACCCCGCGATGGCTACTAAAGTTCCCATATTTACACAATTTTATGTTCAACACACACTTCCAGCGAAATTGACAAACACTGGCTCTCGAATGTGCACCCCGCGGTGATCCAAATGTGTATTTTGTCTTATAAATATTTATTTTTCACGTTTGTACGATGTGTGGAAAATGCCTCAAATACACACGCCATGCACTAATTAAATTCCGAACCCTCGCTGTTCATATCTCGCTTCTCGGTAGTGTAGATGTTTGGAAAGGGGTTAAGTTGAATGTCACGCTTTTGCCCTGTTCGCACACTTATGATGTGTATTCAGTACCTTAATTCTCAAAATCCTCTTGAAAGAATGCTATATTCTTGGTCTTGGCGTGCCAATTGGAAGTGCATTCTGTGGAAAGGGGTAATCACTTGTCACAGAGTCACAAACAAACGTATTATACATATGTCCTCTGTCGCCCTTCCCAACAGAAGACCATTGATTGCATACGAAACAGTGAACTCAAACCACCCTCAAATCATTGCACGCAATTAGACACAGCTTCATTCCATACAATCTAATTGAGATGTGTTTTGTTTTAGATAATTTGCATGATAAATTACACCGGAATTAAGTGTAACTATAGAAATATAACTAGCTTATCCAGCAATAATGTGTATTTGTGCAGTTAATTCATTAAGAATAAGAGAAATAAATCAAACCAAACCCGAATGCAAGACATTAATTTAAAATGGTCAGAGAAAAGAGAATTTCAGAAGAAAAACTAAATTAAGTGTCAACCAAGTTTCTAGTGAGGCTAGATTTCTTTTTATCACTCTGTTTGGCCAAATCTCGATTTTTCTGACCTCTTTTTAAAGCGAATATGGCTTTAAAAGACCACAGCCCTCAAAATGAAAATATCTCTTCAGCAACACTGGTGTCAGAAGTGGAATATCTCAATGAAAATTCAGCGTTATCAATTGATAAACTCACCGGATGACGAGCAGCAGCCGCGTTAATTCCTGCACTTGGATACATATTTAATCCTTAGAAAGTTTGATGATCGAGTGCAAATCCTCACACACTCTTCGAACAACTTTTCCGCCTCTGTGGCTACACTGCGGCCAAAGTGGCACTTAAAACATCCACAATCCGTAGTTGAATCAACACCCGTGTCCGCTAGAGCACGTGGCGTCTAATGGCAGTCTGGCGAGGCCACTTCTGGTGATTCTTGCAATGAGTTGGTGTGGCAGCACGCTGATTGGCCGCAGACATCACAATTATAGTGGTTAATTGATCGTGATTGTTATTAATTATGTAATTTTTTCCGCTATAACTTGTAAGACTTTTTTCCACTCGATATACAACACCACACACTGTTGTTTCTGTTTTATTAGTGCAATTTGTGAAATTTCACGATCTGTTTATATTTATGGCACCGACACACACACACACACAAACACAAAAAGTCCGAGTTCATTGAGTCAAAAATACACTCTTTTTCGCATATAACAGCACAACTCGAGAAGTTGAGCAGCGGTGTTTTATTCCTCTTGCAGTGAAATAATTATGTGTTTATACGCCAGTGGAAATAAAGTGGAGGAACATCACAATCTAGAATGTGAGACCATTTATCACATTATCTCCAGCAGTGTTGTTGAGCTCAAACGGACAACATCAAACACTTCAATTCAACGAGCTGCCGATCGATATCGCTGTCGATTTCCTTGGCGTTTTTCTGCGCTCCTTCACTCCATCACTCGAATCTGCAAACAGAGGATTTGAGATAAAGCAAAATTACTCTCGAGTGGAATTAATTGCATGTGCGTTTAGACTCGAATGCATCCCACAACATGCTAAAGTGCATCCAGACATTCAGCAATATCAGCAATCTTGTGCTTTCCACTCAGTGACTCTTTTGAGGGTGTGAGACACAGCATTTGAGCAGCTACGAGAGTTATATAGCAGCTAATTCACACTTTTATTCATCCACTCCGATAGAGAGGCTCCATCAATTTCACATGTACGATATGATTTGGAGCACAGCAATAATTAACTAAGAATCTCAAGTGCTTTGGGCATGTTTTTTCACATCGCGATTAGGCCACTCGAGCGTAAGTGATAAATTTAAATTGAATACGTATAAACCACCACTTGTCCCCTCTCTCTCTCTCCCTGTCTCTCTCGACAGCCCACAACTTGAGTGTTCTCTGTGACGTCTCTCGAGTGTTGAGAGAGTGGGAAAAGGAGGAAAAAATCTCATCAAAAGTGGAATGGAATCTAGCCACTCGAGAAGGTTAAATACTCAAACTGGGTTGAGCGTTCTCGAAAACTTTACACAATTTATCATATCACTTTGTGATATCACTTCACTCTCTCATCGCTTAAATTGCACGCCTAAGTGCTGCCATCTGTAATTTTGAGATTACTTTTTCGCTATGCAACATTACACATCTCGTTATATAATTAATAATCATGAACGTTTTGATAGTTTCCTATTATATAAGATAGAATACTTTATCGATTTGAAATGCAAGATTAAGCGATGAATTTTGTGACACAACTAAATGTAATTTAAAAAAGAACTTCTTTGATGCTTTTCGAGCTGGAAACACATAACCTCAATCTCATATATTGATTACACGCAAAAATAGGTAAGAATTCCAATCAAGCAGTGATTATCATGTAAATTTTCAGTTTTTCTTTCATATTTAGTAAGACAGACTGGTAGATTTGATATCTTGTCTAATAAAATATGATTTCAAAATTTAATTTGAACCCATGTTTAATAATTAACCCATTTTCCTACCGCAAGCTGAGGTCATGCAACCTTATCTGTTCGCAGATTTAACGCTCATTCATAAATCTTCAGCCACGACCCGAAATCCGCCACTGCGCGCAGTGAGACGGCATAGAGAGTTTAGTGATCTTCATCTGGAGCCACACTCAACAATACACCATGAGTGCCAACCGTTGGAGTGTACATAAACGATGTTGAGGTGATAGAATGGCTCACGATGAAAAGGTGAAATGTTTACACGTCCAATTTAAACATTGAAATAATAATGGGTTTGTGTCGTGTATTGCTGAGCATGTTCATTTCGTGTGTGGGTGGAATTGGTGAGTGGGTAAATTTCATAACCCCAGAGTGTCTCCTATTCCTGACATGTTTCCTCAACAAGAAAATTACACTATGTTGTACAAACGACGTCTCCTTATTTATTCAATCATAATTATTTGAGGAATGTTTATTTGAGACGCTTATCTTTATGGTGATATGTTGTTCTATTGCCACGAACTAATATAAATATTTACACGAGAGACCGAATGAAAAAAGAGAGCCAAGTCGCAGACTTTTATCGAAATCAATCGAGACTGACAAAGATAATCCGGAGTGTGTGATTCCCGCGATCAGGCTGATGCGGGTTTTATTGGGCGTTCAGTGAAAGATTGTTGTAAAAAGTCTCTGTGCGACGAATGAATAATTGACACTTGTGCATTTGCTTAAGATGCTTTCACAGTTAAACATGAAAAATACACAAGAAAATCAACTCTCTGTTTACCAGAAATTTTCAAACATCACCTCAAACTGTTTATTTATTCCATCTACACGCCGCTCACATAGGCATTGTACCTCCAGTTCAAATAAACAAACGTCCTCAAACTTTGTTTACGCACCAGAGACACTATGTCAACAATTAAGATATGAGAAAATGTATGAAAAATATTAGCAACTCTATATTTAAATTTTAATCACTCACGAGAATTTATATTTGCTCAAATATCTCCATCAATAAAGTCAACACGCGCACACCTCATTATTAAATATGTCTATCTCTGAAAAGGAAGGAAAAAACCTCGCACTTCGTGTTTCTCGCTCATGACTCTTCAAATACGGTGTTGAGAAAAGGGAGACAGAAAAAAACTAGGAGATGCCTAAGAAAACACTGTGTGGAATGTGATAATTGATATTTCAAATAAATTTCTTTTCATTATACTATTAGCTAACAACGGCAATTTTTCATCATTCTTGCTAACGTGAAATTCATAGCATTTCCTCACTATAATTAAGGTTTAATTTTGTAAGAAAAATATCAATGAAAACTCTTCTGTCCCACAAGTTTGTGAGATTTTGTGCTGAAGAAGAAATTGAAGTCTCAAAAATGCACATTGAGAAAGCACGTTTTAGCATCAGATAGGAAAAAAACACGAGTTAAAATTACAGAAATTGACAATGAGACGAGTGCAAACGGTCAAAAAATGGGAATCATTTGAAAAAAAAATCGTCAGAGAAAAAATGCGTATAAAAACACTGTACACAAAGCCGCATATTTTCCACAATTTTCACAAAATTAATTATGTTTACACACAGTTTCATTTTATTTAACTTTGCCGTATTATGCACATATATGGTCGTATATATACACAAACAATTAAATATTTATTTTTCAGAAATTATTTGCACATCAAACAGAAACTCCACAGCAATGTGAAAATGTTTTGAAGCGGAAAACCGGTTTGAGGTTGAGGTAAAGCACCCCATCCTGAAAATCCCTCGCCCACTGATTCACCCTCATTTGGTACTTGTTTTCACACCCTTTGCGCGATGCATTTTTCACCCCTGCAATATTGTATGTAACATATAGCAGTGCGAAATTGCAAATCAATCTCTCCTTGGCCATGTGTTAAGCTCTCGATGGGACTAAATAGGCACACTATGGAAGTGAATTGGCGAGCCTTCTGCGCTGCCGGTGAATGGACTTGAGTTTGGGGCCGTAAAAGTCTGGGCAGAACCCATCGAGAAATGCCCTCTTGTCACGCAGGTCCCCACAAGCAGGCGGAACAGCAATTTATTACATTTTATTTCCACCCATTCCACGTGTCCTCTCAACATTACCTTCATTTCTCCCGCCATATGCTTTTGTGTCCTAAATTTATGGCCATTTTTTCTCATATTCCACTCGCCCAACCATTCCTCGTGCGTCTCTTCTGCTCACCCTCCTGCACACATTTCTACTTTAGTATCAATTTAGTATGTAATGTACAAATCGCACTTCCCAGCATGCAGTGATATATCGAAGTTTTTCAATTTTCGACACAAAACATCTCCTGAGGACTCGTCAATATACTTTTCCATGCGATTATGGAATGGGAAAAGCAATATTCTTCAATATTTTCACCATTTGCACCACTTTTGAAACTGTTTCAATATTTGCCAAAATACGTAATGAATTTGCTATAACCCGATTTTCATATTTTACGAATTTGCTTCATATTTATTTCAATGTGAAATAAATAGATTCCCCAGAAGTTTTAATATTTAGTAAATTTTGCTATAAACGATACTCTAACGCGTTCGATTCAGCCCAAACCAGACGATTATAAAGATAGTTTGAAGCCTTAACCCTTTGTTGATATTCAAAAGATAAGAAAAAGGCCGACTTCACTATTCTAGACAATGTGCGATATGTACATATATTGTGACCCACAAATTGCTTATAATGCATTTCTATTTCGCTGGTTTTCCCCTCTCATACACGTTATTTTTATCACGAATATTTTTTTTTATTTATATTCCGCGGTATACTTTAATACGAAAACACACGTAAAATATTTACTCTCGATGCCGTCGGTGATGAATTCTCTGTGATGAGAAAAAATATTGGCAAACATCATAGGATTTTTATTTGTGTTTCATGTGCCTAAGCCTCTGATGCCACCCACTTTGTGGTTTATTCCTATCTGTCGGTGCTTTTTTCTCTCTGTCTCACTCTGTCTTTTCCGCGAAATTGTGAAGATACACTGTGAAAAATGGTTCACACACAGAAGCGCGCATCGAGAGAACAAAGGTTGAAACGTGGAATCTTCAGATGTGAGGAGAATATTAATGTTTTACAGAAGTGGCAGAGTGTGTTTCAGCGATAAAAAAAACCCAAATAACACGATAGAGACAAGAGTGGTCTAGTCAATTGGTAATCCATATGCCTCGTCGCTTTGGGTCTTGTTCAAATACATGAGAAGAAACCGGTAAATCCATTAACCGGTGGCCAATTTTCACACGCACATCATCATCAATTTAATTTACTCTTCTTCACCCCACCCCACTTTATGTACAACGCCACTTATATACATCATATCCCATGTTGAGATATTAAGGCATAGCGCATTTAAACTGGAATTTGCTGTTTATACCTTTCAGCTTTTATCTTGATAAATTGTCTCTGAAGAATTTTCTCTCTCTCCGCTGCTTCCCCAATACACAGAGTTATTAGCATAAAATTGTATTAACTCTGCCCTCTCTTTCTCTCATCAACGCCAGTGACACATCTTCACTTAATTTATGCGATTTCTTGTTATCTCACTGTGATTTTCATTCTCCTTATGTTTCCTCTCTCTCCGTTGCGTGCATTCAATTTAGCAAAATATATTGTTGTATTTATGTATGATGAATTTAAAATGACGAGAGAGGAAAAATTCCATAGGCGTCACAGAGCCGTGGTCGGGTGATGGTAAAATATGCTAAAATATGACGGTTTTCCTCAACAAACACCAACGCACTGTGTCACATGCCTAATTACACTACTAATTTAATTAACTGTCAACATTGGCAGTGCATTAGAGCGCCAGTTCCACATCGACACACAGCACGTTTGGCCTAATGAGACAACACAATCCAAAATGGCACTCACGCGCAGCGTCTAAACAGTGTCAACACGCCAACGGACAGACTTCAACTGACGCTCAAGCTATGCAGCCCTATCCGTCTGTGCTCTTCACTTCCCAAAACAGAGCGAGTCAGCACGAGGTCACGCCGCTGACGAACAGCCTGCCGTCTCACTCTGCACAGCCCGTGAATAATGGCGAACATGGTGCGCAGTGGAGCTTGGCTATAGATAGGTTTGTTTGGGCCGGCTTCGCCCTGGACGCTGAAAAATAAACAAAATCGCTCCTATTTATCCACCACTTTTCATCCTCCATTCACCCAAACTGTAATTAAATTTCATTGCGTTCCCCATCGTGGCACTCGCATTTGGGCGGCCTTATCGTTCTGGATAGGAGCAGAACTACACAACACATACACACACTTCAATTAAATTCCCATCCGACTTCGTCACTCTGGGAGACGCGAATTGTCAGGGAGTTATGACACGCCGCTTTGCTGCATACTTATTTCATTGAGGATTTTAATCAGTTTTACGTGATGCCGACAGCAGAGCGGCAATTTGACATAATTTGTTATCACGCTGCCTTGCGATAATCAATTGACAAATACACGCTAAAATATTATGCAAATTTCACACAAGCCTTTTTCTATACTCTGTGGCTGTATGTACGATTGATTTTCCTTTCACCCTTCTTGACCCTTGCGTGCTCATCACTGCAGAAAATCCACGTCCCGTGCGATAATCTCTGTGAACCAAAAATTATACATTCACACCACACCCGATCCCTAGCATTTGTGCCCGATGCTCATCATGCGTTTGTGCATGTGTGGGAAATTCCACCCCTCACTCTCATGAAGCATAGTTTATAGGAGTGTATTCTGAAAACAAATGACGATATTGTTATGAACACAGTTAAAAAAAAGAACACTTTTTCCCTGATAATACCAGATTTGCACTGAACTTAACACTTTGGGAGATACAAAATGTACTGGGCGGGTTAACATTTGCCGCTTCTTACACGCAATTCGAACTACACAATGTTTAATACTGAATCAGAACTTTTAACAGTGTAAACATGGCATTTATGCTAAGTATGTTTGGTGTATGTGTGAAGCGCTCAATATAAGGGTTGATGTACCCCTCGCCAGACCATTTAATCTCATAAAATCTCCTCGTCAAAGCGTCGTCGCATGTGAAATAATATCATCAATTAAATAGAGATCACCCCACATTCATTCCTTATTCCTTTCCCGCATTTTGTCCTCGAGAGACCCTCACCAATTTCGACCCTATTGAAATTTCCTGAAGCCCCTCGGGCGCACTCAGTCTCACCCGTACGCCGAGTAACAAACAATATCCCCTCGAATACCCCAGGCACAGTGAGGCCAAATGTTTCGTCAACGGGAATTAATGGGTAAATTAAGGAATCATTTCCACATTACATTGCATGGAAAGAGAGAAAAAGAGGAACTGGGAAGATGTGTGCAGTGGAAAAATGCATTGAATTTCGAAACATTTCAGTTAAACAGCAGAGCTAGACATCCGCAAAAAAGGAACACGAGTGAGAGGGAGAGGGGGTATAAAAAAAATACAGCAAGAGGGGTCAATATTGACTCTGTGCGCAATATTTTCTTTATTCCATGTGTTTTCCACCATAGATGCCACGATGGAGATGGATGCGAAAAATGTGGAAAATTAAATATATTAGTGTAAATATTTAGAAATGAGATATGAATGTGTACAGAGAGATCAAGTATTGCTAACAAACGTCCATCTCTCTGGAACAGGAGGTGAGGCGAGAGGCGCGTTGGTGGAACAAGAAGAGGAATTTACACACCGGAGACACATATTTACGCACATATACGTATATTTGCCTATTTATTAGTGATCCAAAAGCTCAAATTCCAAGAGCAAACATTTGAGAAACTCAAGAAAAAAAATCATAAGAGAGATGCCATGTATTGCGAGGTGGTTTGTCACCAGCATTCAAGCAGCACTGCTGCAATATTTATTGTTTTATCGCCTCCAAGAGGGAGATAATAATGGCTCAAATCTTCATGAGTCTTCCACGAAGGGGAATAAAACATCAGAATAAACCAGTATTTCAGTAAACCGATGAATGAGTCTAGTTGGGTTTATGATCCTAAAAATTAACTCAAGACTAACTAAACTGAGAAACTCTTTAACCCGAGATTGCTAATTGTAAGTAAGAAGTTTGAGGTTATGTTTAACTCTAACACTGTTTTTCGCCACTTAGCTTTCAGAGTTGCCATTCTCATGGCGTGTAAATGCACAATTCTACTAATTTTTTGGAATGTATTTCAATATATACACAGGAATTTCTATCTAAAGTTGGTATTTATTGCGAAATACAACACATAACCTAGAAAAAAAATGTCAAAATCAATATTAACTCAGAGCTGTGAGGCTGTGGAATCTATCTCCCCCTTGATTGCCTCTCCAAAAGTTTCAGCTCAGTCTCATGTCATCCTATTTGTCTCTCTGGAGATTTACTTGTATCTCTACTATGTAATCAGTGACGTCAGAATCTTTTGCAAAGTCTGTGGCCCCCTTTTTCCCAATCCTGCCATCACTCTGGAGCGGGTGACACTTGCTCACGCAAATGGTGGTATGCAAACATGCCCTACTGTCCCCGATTTCACCCCTTCTGGTGATCCCTGGACGTCTTCACTCTTCATTCTCTGCGCTCTTTTTTTCACTCTAAAACCCCTCTATTTTCACTCAAGAGCCATGGAACAACACAACGAGCTTAAGCAAATAGACACAGAGGGAACATTGGCAATTTGCATGTTTGCGCAGCTTTCCCATTACCATTTTCCCATATAAACACACGCCAACTGCTGGAGTGACTGTGCCGTTGAAGGAGACATAAAGAGTATCAAATTACACTCGGTAATTTGCAATTCGATGATTATTCAGTTAAAATGCATTCACGCCTTATTTCTTTGTGGTTCAACAATATAACATTGTTGTTCGATGTGCAATTTATGAAGGATGTATGTACAAAAATTTTCCTCTTCAAGTGTTATGTGCAAAATATTAAATGAAATTTGAGCCGATTCACTGTCGATATATATGTATATTGTTGGCATATTCGGAAAAAATTCTACTTACCTCAACAGTCGGACAAATGTTGGTCTCTTCGAACTGTCGAAGTGATGGGTGAATAGTGAAAAAAGGTGAGAGGAGAAGGGAAGAAGCCTGAAAGTGCTGAGAAGGACCTTCATTCGGGGGTCTTTTCCCCGAAATAGTATTTGTGTCTGCTCAGAAAATCATACACTCTGTCATATATCGTGTACATATGTCGCACAGTGGGCAAATATACTTTTTCCGTCCTTATTTTCTTAAATTCTGACTCACTGCACTCACACCAGCGGTCTTTCATTACACTAAAAGCCCCTCCGTTTATGTGCATCGAGCGAGACAGAGCGATACACAATTTAGTGTGATGAAATACATGATTTCATATGTTACACTACTTGCACTCATTTGTTAAACCCGCGCCGCACTCAGAAAACCCAACGCGCCACCAAAGACTCCACGTGGAGTCGAACCGCAGCACCACATACACAGTAGACGACCGAGAAAACCAGACAGGGGAATTGTGGAGTTGAAAAGAGATTGGAATTTTCTATATGCCCAACTCACTCAAGTGCTATATACACTCTATCACTATGTATACTGCCTCTCATCCATCTATCGATTTCCTTCTCGCTACGAGAGCAACAGAGGCGGCACATCGTGCTGTCTCTGTCGCACGCGTGCACCGCAAGTGGCGACAGAGCGAGAGGCAGCGAGGCCGTGCACGAACCCATGCACGCCCGAGAGAGATGCAAGAGTGAGCTCTGTGTGGTGTAATGGAAAAAGGAATGATACTCACCGAAGCAGAGGTGAAGAAAAAACAAGACCTACGATGAAGAAATTATTTTCCCCAGCATTTTTACTAAATAGAAGCCACACAATTTACCTCCGCATGTAATTTACAGTCGCTATTTAATATACAAACCATGTTTATTGGTAGAGATTTCAACTGCCAATTTACACAGAAAATAATTATGCGATAAGAGGAGTTAATGAAGTTGGAATTATTAAATTTTTGCGAAAATCACAACTCTGCACCACGAGTATGCGGAAATTAACTTCTCAGAATTTGATTAATAAATCTGAAAGTTGCATGAAATTCTCTCGAAAACCACTTCAAATTATGGGAAATGCTTGAAAAATAATGTGATTAGAAGAGTTTATGTTTTAATATGAGACCTAATATGATTCTAAAGAGTTTATTGTAGGATTTAAAATATATTTTCCAATCTAGTTTCTCGTCTTATAATCTATAAACTTAAGATATTTCCTGGGATTTAATTTAGATTTTTCTTATCTATCAGATTTCTTCTTAAAATACATGATTTCAAAGCTCAAAGTTGACGAAAACATTTACATGTTTAACTCCTAAAAACCATGTTTAACATATTATATTTTAAGATATTAAATGAAAAATGCATGAAAATTTAAGCAGAATTTGGTTATTATAAGATTAGAATTGAAAAATTGCATTGACCAGCCGAGATTGTGTGCTATTCAGTTATCAATTAGTGATGGCGGCGCATGAAACAATTGAAACTGAACTACTGAATTGGATACCTTCGAGTCATACATATGTACATATTGTTAATTTGCGCCTATATTGCGTACAAATCGAATTTGTATTAACGATATAATTATTATGCAGTCACCAGAACGTGATAGAGCATTGAAAATCATTAATGTCGCTCTCTCTCTATGTTTCGCGCCGCTAAATGGGTGAATTGGTGTCAATTTAATTGTTTAGCGGACAAGTTAGTCGGGAAAATCAATATGATGTACGTTTTCTTTTCCCATTCGCACCCATGCCGCAAATTCACACACAAGAGAGCGCGCTCTGGGTGTGCGAAATATTTAAAATACACACTTGAAAACATGCCGGCAGTGGGCAAAAAGACTTCACGACTTGCTCGCTCCGATGGCATATTATTTCTTTATCATCACAGAACGGGGGGCCGCGCAGTGT